AGGAAAGGAAAGGAAAGGAAAGGAAAGGAAAGGAAAGGAAAGGAAAGGAAAGGAAAGGAAAGGAAAGGAAAGGAAAGGAAAGGAAAGGAAAGGAAGTCAGTTGGGCCTTTTGAGTGCTTAGAGGGAATCTGTGCTCAAGGAAAGGGAGTCAGAGAATGGTGTGAACTTGAAGAGACCTTTAAAGATCACCTGGTTCCATCCTTGGCCATGGGTGGTGGCAGTGGCTGGCTCTTGCTCAGGAAATTGCTGGCCTAGCTCGGTTTGAGGGCTTCTCTTCCCTGGGGAGGGCTGCATATGGAATTACAGACTCATTTTACTCTGCTGTACAAATTGCTTTGGGCTTTTCCTTTTTACAGAGTCAGCTGGTGTGTCTGCCTCTGGGTTTGGAGTGGTTTAAAGCCCTTGGYTTTGGAAAATTTACAGTAAAAAAAACAGCTTTGGGCTGCTCCAGCTCTGAGTTCTGGCTCTGTGGGCTGATTAGGTGAGACCAATCTGCAGAAAAGTGGTCCCTGTGTCTGCTCTCAGCAGCCATTCCTCGAGTCCTCATAAACCAGACCTSAAATGAGCAATGTAAAGCAAAGGCCAAATTTCCCAGGAAGTCTGATATTAATTCAAAGCCAAGGAAAATTAAAGAGCAGTGAAGGACTCTGTGGAGAAGGGAGTGTGTTTTAAATGAAGTGAGACAATTTAGGTAGACATGAAAAGACTTTGAAACTTCCYACTGCAGTCAAAGATCACAATTCCTGCTTTTTCTCAGTGCATGACRAAAGATACCCACAAAAATTACTCTCTACAGAACAATGCAACACCAGCATTTTGTTTTGATAATTTCAAAATAACATAATTACAGAAGCAGAGGGGGTTTTAGTTAATTTGTTTGGRGTTTTGCTTTTTAAGAGAGCTAACTGACATAAGGAAATTAAAACTTTTGGTAGAATGACATATTTCTAGTAGACTTAGATACTTCTTAAGCTTGACAACCCATACTGTTCTAGGAAAAAGTTTCTTTTGGATATGTTCTTTAAATGTATCTCTTTTTACTCTCAGTAGAAGAAATTTCTGGGCTACTTCTTTCTTTCTTTTGCTTTGTCACCCTGCAAATACAACTGTCACACTTCAAAGTCTGAACCTTGACATTTGAAAGATACATTTTATATTTTATATTTGTTATGTAATTTCTTCAGGGTAAAAGGCCTGCTACATGATTTRTTTAATCTCGTGGTGTTATTTGCACACTTTTCCCACAAAATACAAAAAAAAAAAGAAGAAAGAAATACAATTTATTCTCTAGTAGTCTTTGTAGGCCAAGTAGTCTTTGTGGAACTTTTATAAAGTTGTAGAGCAACTTTAGAGGTGTGGACTTTAATAAGCCATTTTCTGAAGGGTGTGTTTATAAAGTTGATATTACTAAAAAGCAGTGAGGTAGGACAATAATGTAGCAATTTATTAATGAGGATAATTCATGCACACCATATCACAGTCAAATTTGGGAGAAATCTTAAATCAGCACAACTCTCCTGTGGGTTTTRATCATCACTTCAAATTGTGAAAAATCTGTATCTTTCCTTGTTGTTTTTTCAGCTTTACAGAGTTTTTGGATCCGTTCCAGCGAGTGATCCAGCCGGAGGAGATCTGGCTGTACAAAAATCCTTTGGTGCAATCAGACAACATCCCCACACGTCTCATGTTTGTGAGTACTGAAGGCTCTCAGGTCACTTGATGGCTGTGAACTGAGTGCACTTGCATCTGATGACAATGTTTCACAAGTAGAGGGTGTTCCTTTAATTCTAATGTCAATTATTTTACAAACCGGGGTTGCCCAAAATCTCAAAATGCAGCAAATTGTGGGGAGCTTTTAAAAAGCAGCATTATCAGGTGACTGAATTTATGAATGTTGATTTTTCAGTTTAAGACTGAAGGTAGTGTTAGCTTCGAGGGATGTGAGAGAAACGAGCAGAGAAGCTTTTCCAATTAGYTGGTTGGGTGACCTGACAAAACCTTGCCATGCTCTTATAAGGTTAAGTGCTTACATTTTGAAATCCAATTTGTTTTAGGCCTGTTAGGCACTGAGATACTTGACTCTGAATAATTTTTTTTTCCCCCAAAGGCAAAACCTTTGTTTTAGCTTCTGCATACTCTAAATACATCACAGAGCTGCCCTGCTGTCGTTGCTCTTGTGGCTCTTCCCTGCTCAGCACACGTGGACTGGCTGGCTGAATTTGGTTATCAAACTTCACAGTTTTGATAATCTTCACTGGCAATGTTAACAATTACAGTAACCTGTATATATAACTGTAAAAGTGCAGTAAGACACTACAGAAATGCTTACAAATTATGGATATAGTTCAGACTGTCATGAGCAGTAGCAGACTGTTACTGACATCTTTTCAAAGCTGCCTCAAAGTCCAGGCCAGGGTTTTACTTTTCAAACTTGAATTCAGAATAAATGCAAATTAGCATATAATGTCTCTCTTTTTTTTTTTTTTTTTTTAAGGCTTAGTCCTTCTATTATTAAATATTTTTAATTAAGCAAGGAACAACTTCAAGGTGCTTCATGTGTATGAGGTGAACATTTATCCCAGCCTTCTAAGACAGAGGCTGAAGGATTGGTTTTAGAGGAAAAATCCAACTCTAGCATTGATCACAAGCTTTCATTATGTAGAGAATTTCTCAGATATTGAAACATACGGCTTTGGCTTASCAGAAAGCAATCTCTAAGATTTTGTGAATTGATGAATTGTTTCATTTGCTATGAGAGACTTGAATTCAAGAGAAATATTGTGMATGCACATCCAAATTAGACAAAACTGACTTCTACATGGGTGCCAAAAGCAGGCAACAGCTGAGCCTGGTTCTGTGCCTTWATCAGGGGATATTCCTTGCCTTGGAAAGTGCAGGTGACTGCCAGCTTCCCTTGGATGCATGGAAATGTCTGGGAGTCCCTAAAACTTCAGCACCTCTCTGGYTTGCCAGGATGAATAATAAATGGCAGAGATTTTGTCCATTTTTCACAAAAACCAGGCAATGCTGGAACATTTCCCTGCTGGAAAAGGAAACATTGCTGAGATGCATCTGAGGAGAGAGCTGCTCATCAGGACGTCGCCAAATCTGTTTCAGATATGAGCTGTGCAGAACCTTCTTGCAAAATAAATAAAAAGGATTCAGCCACAAGCCAGAATTTCTTTGTGTGTGCCTTTTGCCGCAGAATAAAAAGCACTTTTCAGCCAATGCTTTTGTGCAAGGAATGCCAATACTCCACAAATTCATCTCCTTAAGAAATATGAGGGAATCTGCAGTTTACCCGAATTCTCAAGATTGATTGAGATGTGGTTTGGAACAAGCTGCCACTTGAATGCTATTCTTTGTGGATAATTTCTGCTGCTCCTGCTCATTCAAAAGATTTCTGACTCCATTAAACCACCACTAGAAGCCTGTCAGCCTTGGCT